ATGTGGTTTTTGGCATATTGCACAAAACCCGGTGCTGACAGACGTTGTGCAGAGGTGCGCATCCTGGCGCTGGAGGGCAAACCAAAATCTACGGTGGCGTGAATTTTCCTGCCCTTTGTTCGCCTTTAAAAAATAGCCCGCCACTCTATTTTTATTAAAGAGCGAGGTGGCTTATTTTTTTAATAGAGAGGTATTATTGTTCGTTCTGGATGCCATCGTTTTAAGGCAGATTCACGCACCGCCTACTGGGGTGGTCACCTATGGCAAGCACGAATCGCCTCCAGGCGATTGCAGGATGGGAAAATTGTGCCCGCCCTTGCGACCGACGGGCTGCAAAATAAAACCTTTGGCAGAACTGCATCATGCCTTTACAGCCACATATCTTTCCTCAGAAAAGGCACAGTGTTGCTCCCCATCTGCAAAAAGGGAGCCAAGGATTGGATGACTTTTTTAGGGATGAATTTAATTTAATTTAATTTAATTTACTTTCTTTCCACAAGAGGGTGCTAGCTCCATTTCTTTCTCAGGCTCTTTATTTAAAGTTTATCAACTTTATTTCCCCCCACCAGTTCTTTTTCCCCTCCTCCTTCTGCATCCAAAGGCAAGCTGGAATTCCAAAAAATTAAAGGCTTGCGGTTTCCTCACAAGCCGGGGAGGAATTGTACCCACCTGCACGATTCCACGTTTATACATGGCGCAAAATATAAATAGGGAATCGGAAGACCACTCAATGTGCTGGATCTGGTCCAAGCAGGTGAAGAGTTGCAGAATTTCAAGGGTGTTGACATCTCGGATCACCAAACGGTATTGCACCCCCGAAGCCTGAAAATTAATTACAATTTAAACACCGCTTAATCATTATTACTATAAAGACAGATCCGTGATGTGCCTGAAATGTTATCCTTTGGATCCCAAAGATATGTCTATCACCAACCCTCAAGAAGCTAGGAAACGCGCATGGCTGACCCCAAAAGACTATGGGCATTGTAGTTCACAACATTTGGAAGGCACCGGTTCACCGCTGCCCAACTTTAATAATTATTATTAAAATTTATTAAATGTATATGCTGTTTGACTCCCAGAGACTCTGGGTGGTTTACAGTTGCTAAACATATTTAAAGGCAAAGAACAGTGCAAAAACACCCAAGCAGCCACGTTTTTGCTCCCTACATAAATAAATGGTTCCTCTAGCAACTGCTTAATTCAATTTACAGAGGATAGACATTTCAGTAGAGCTGCCTATGAGACATTAAAAAAAACAACCAGATTTACTTATAATTATTGATATTATTGATATTATTTCTTTGGTGGTCGAGCATCTTCTGCTAACCACCTGGTGTCTGAATCACACATAATCCTAAATTGTAATGTTGCGACACAGCTTTTTTTCATTTAACACAACATGCAAACTTGGCCTTACCCACAGATCAGTTAAAAATTTCTAATTTAAAGTTATCTTTCCTTCATTCCAGAATGAATGGATAGTAAAGCCATCGCTCATTCATTACAGAAAGCATCAGAGGACCTCAGCAGCCACTATAAGCCATGATTTATAGCTTACTGCAACATGTAAACACTGGCCAGTTATAGCTTGGTCAACAAACCATGATTAAAAAGAGTATCTTAGCATGATGTTTGATGACACTCCATATATTTATTTACTAAAGAGAGTAGGCAATTCAGTAAACAAACACGACTGCTATTGTTACATCAGTGCTAGCTAAACAAACATAGTTCCCCTCTGAATCAACCATGGCTTAATCATGGTTTATGCAACAAACCAGCATTGTCGGAGTTCACAGACCCCACTAAGCCAAATCCAGAGGAACACATTATGTCTTAGCATACCGCACGAAAAATATTCTGTTTTCCCAAAACTTCCTATCGGTGGCATTAAATCACTTAGTTTCAGCACTGTGCAGAAATTAAAAATAAAGCAGGTTTATGGTCTAAAAACCGGGGGGAGGGATCAAAAATGCCGACAAGCAGCATTTGTTTAAAACAACTGCATTTTTTAAAAAATCCACAACTTAAATCTGTCATACCCCCAAACACCCTGGGAAATTTACTGCTCCCCACGAACTGGAAGGAAGGACGCTTGGAAGCACCGAGAAAAGTCAATATTGCTAACAAAATAAGTCGTTTTTAATGAAGAGATTTTTCCCTTCCAGGATATAAGCCGTATTGTTCTTCCTCGTAAAAGGAATTAGCTTCACAACTCACATTCGCCCAAACCACACTATGTCCCCTTGCAACTATCATGGATAAACCACGGCTTTGGCTTAATATATTGCAGAAACCTCAGCAATGGTAGCCCATTCAGCAAACCACCCTTAAGCAAAGCCAGACTGAATGCAAGGCCTTTTTGCCCCAAACTGGCAAAAAGATGCAAATACCAGGGAGACGTGAGCAAAAGACACCCAACCTAGGGATGTTCAAAAACATGGCAACGTCCCTCGGATCACAGCGTGCTGCTTGAACCCACAACCCTGGTTCTTCCCACCCAATTTCCAGGTTCCACCACATCTCACCAGGTATTTCCCGTCCGGAGAAAATCTGCACAAGTGGCTGGAGGCTTTAAACAGTTCAGAAAAATTCACCATGGTCAAACTTCGCAGAGGGGCAGACCCACAGCAGAAGGGTGGGAGGGCTGCTTCCTGAAATGCAGGCTTTTTAAAAAAAATTTTACTTCCGGGGTGGGGGGGGAAAGTGGAGTGGATAAGATACTGTCCTACCCTGAAAAAAACAATCTCCTTCCATTAAATACGTAAGCGTATCATTCAAAGGACAAGAGGCTTTTCTTCCAGATTAAGAAGCAAACAGAAGTTGACAGAGCAATTATAAGGCCCCCCAAATATTTAAGCTCCCCCAAATTAGGGAATCAAGCAATCTCCAGCAAGTCTCAGCTCCAATTTTGCAAAGCCAGAAGGGGCCCCCTGTTAAAAAAGCAACAGTGCATTAAACGCAGATGATAAAAGTCCCCCCCAAAAGATTGAAGTTCCCCCAAATGAGGAAGGCAGGCAAATTAGGGAACCAGGCAGAGGAAGAGGGTGCACCCCCTGAAAAAAAGATTGCAAGCATGCATGAAAAAGAAACTTTGGGGACAAAAAGGTTTGTTCCCATAAAGGGAGGGGAGCAATCAGGTGCCCCAAAGCAGGAAGGATTAATACAACCCCCCCAATGGAAAATAAGTGCAGTTTTAAAAATTCTCCTCCCTTTCGAGAGATGCTGCACTTCAAAAAGGGGAAGGGGATCCCTAAATTTCAGACCACAGTCTTGGGGGCTCCTCTCCCCTAAAAAATGTGTGGGGGCACCCACCCCCCTGGTTTCCCCCCCCCCCAAATTCCTGTTGACAAGGATGCCTTTCAGACCCCTGCAAGTTCCCAGGAAGGGAGAGCGACCCTTCCCGGTTGGAAAGTTGTAATTAGGAATTATTAAAGGAATTATTAAAGGAATTTTGTAATTACAGAAGTTGTAATTATTTCCAATCAGACAAGGGAGGGAAAGGGGGGGCGTTAAAATAAGGAAAAGGGGAAGGATATCCCCCAATCTTTGAAAAAAAAGGGGGGGGATAGAAAATGGGGAGATGCCCCACGAGGGAGAGCCTGAAAGGGGAGCTGGAAAAGAGGGAGGGGCGCCCCCAATTGTAATTGGGACCCCCTGAAGCACAAAGGGGGCTTGAATAGAGCCTCTCCTGCAGCCTGGCGCAGGAAGGGAGCGGGAAGGGACACCCTCCCCACAAAAAGGGGGCCTCGCGTAAGAGGGGGGGCTGGGGAGCTGGAGTGG